ATAAGAGATTCTGTCTCACAGCGTGTGTTTGTTTAATTTGCTGTTGAGTGTGTATGTAATTCATCATCTCTGGGGGCAGCAACCTTTTTTTGTTTAAATCTTGAGCTTATCTCGACAAAAACTTTTTCATTTCTTTAATCTTTTTCTCTCTTTTTTTTTCATTCCTCCTACGGCTCGGAAATGTCACTTCAAGATGTTGCCCTCGTTAGCTGGGGATTGAAGCTTTTGAGGGTCACGCTTCTCATAATCTGCCAAATTCAGGGAGAGAGATGCCTTGCAGGATGTAATGTCTCTTTTTTTTTGGGTCCCGTTTTGTCTGCTTCACTCAACCCCTCCTCGGCTGTCGCTGTCTATCTTTATTTCTCTTGATCTACTGTATATCTGCTATCTATGGCTTACTCGCTTTTCACACTCTGTTTCCTTCTCCTCCCTCTATTCTTCATCCAAACAGTTTTTGGTGTCATTGTTATTACATTGTTGGAGGACGACTCTGTAGTGGCCCACTATCACCACCTCTTCTTAACATTCTGAGCTTCACTATTCACTTAGAGATAAGACATTCTTAATTGGCAATGATTAGTGTTTTACAATATATAGAACAATAATATCCAACACTATTTAAAGAAATTATAATACGGTGTGATAAGCAATAGTTGATTAGGTGATTACAGCTGAAGCCAGATTACATCAGACACACTGTATCAAATAATGTTAGACCCTAATCCGAAACACATTCATCCCTCTAACCATATCTTTCTTTTTCTGTATCTCTATCTTGTCGGGCAGAGTCAAAAAGAGATGCTCCTTGCCAACAAGAGCTAGTGTTTGTTATAAAATCAATGGGGCTGAATGGGAGACTCAGTATGAGTCAGAGGAGACTCTGACAAGAGTTGCACACAAACCTACACAGGTAAAAACTCTTTAAATTTTTTAATGTCACAATTCCAAAATTGATGCATTTCAGCCTGTAGTAAGTAGTGTTCTCGCCATTATATATTTGTAAGACAAACACCTAACAGACGTGTGAATGCAGAAGTGATACAATGGTCACTTTCCCTTAGTGCTTACTACTGTGTGTGTGTGCAAGTTTCCAAGGTCCTCTACATATCAAAAACACAGAATTACCAGTGTGTTGAGGTTAACTGAGCAAAAGGGATTTAAAATAGCATAAACCAAGTTATTGTCCCATTCAAAGTTAGTTTCTTAGTTATACTGTTGAATGGTGGACAGTTGTGACAGTGATAATCCAGAGTGATATGCCTGTACTTTTGTCTGACTACTGTTCTTGTTTACATTTAAAAACAATAGAAAGTTGTCCTCAAAAAAATAATAATCCAGAGTGGATTAGTGTTACATGTAACGTATGCCAACGACAAGCAATACAATTTAAAACAATCTGTGATTCAAGGAATGTTTTGATAATATTATCCATGAAAGAGATGCTAACAATTGATCACAGCATTCAAATGTTAGTCGCTCCTCCACTTTCCTCCTGAAATAACTATTAGGTAGACGCCTTCCTGTGGACATGCATGTGCCCCAGAAGATCAATCCTCTTGACTTTGGTGATCTCCTGATCTTTCCTGATCTTTCCTGCAACCTTACCTTTCCACAATGAAGTTGACATTATAGTTTTTTAGTGAACAACAACTATTGGATGGATTGCAGTAACATTTGGTACAATAGGTTAGCTCATAAGCTGCTAAAATACATTACATTTTTCTGGCTCACGTCCAGAAGAAGAAGAAGAAGTGCATACTTCGGGTGACATTAAAATGTTGTGTAACCTGCATTTAATGTGATCGATTCACCAATTGAATTCTTTAGTTCACAACTTAGTTTCAGATATTCAAGTTTGAGTTGCGGCCACAGTGAATGTAAAGAGGGTGGTGAAAATAACAAGAATGCACAAGAGTATAGAACGCAATACAATACATCACAGAAAACAGCTTGGTTGTGTTGAATCAAAACCTCTCTGACACAGTCACAAAAAACTGCCAGTTGGATTTATCCCTGTTTGTTGGGTTGCGTTACATTGTACAGGTGTTGCTGCTGTTATGTCTTTCCCATTTTTCCTGTTTCTACCTTTTTTTATTTATTCATCTACCTACAGTAGCTACTTAAATTGTCCTACTGCTTCAATCGTCTTCTTTTTTTTTTTAAATGAGCAATCAGTGTTTGTCTCTACGTGTGTGGCCCTCTTATAAGCCCATCTGACCGGCTTCTCTCCAGGCTAATCAAAGAGCACATCTTGGCTTTACCGCAAAACCTTGAATGAATAACCGCAGGGAGGCCGAATGAAAGAGAGAAGAGAGAGTGAGGGGTGGGGGGATGGCACACTTCAAAGATGACACGAAGTGAGATAGAAAAGAGGATAAAAATATAAAGATATGACTAGATGATCTAGAGAGGGGGGATGAGGAAATGGCAGGGAGGGTAATGAAGGAATGAAGGGAAAGAGGAGGAGAGGATGAGAGAGCAGAGAGCAGCACTGCATCCCCGTGTGATCTGGAGTGGGAATTATTTCCATCACACATCACACTCTCAATTCTCACTCATCCCTCTGCCTCTACCTTTCACTGTCTGTCTCCCGCTACATTTTTCTCTACAGTTTCCCCATACCTGTCTGTATTGTTCTCTGTCT